CATAATGTATATGAATTAGGTTAATTGGATCTATCATTTGTGAGAATGTGAGAATTCTGGGTTGATTTGTTTAATAATCCATTTCTTTGATTGCTTGGCTCTCTATGGTATCCTCAGGAATCTTCTCCAAAATTTAACTGCATGAATACAGGTAGTCCTTGAGTTACAATAGTTCGTTTAGTGATTGTTCAAAGTTACAGTGGCACTGAAAAAAGAGACTTGTGACCGTTTTTCACAGTTACCATCTTTGTAGCATCCCCATGATCATGTGATCAAAATTCAGATGCTTGCAACAGATTCATATTTATGATGGTTATGGTGTCCCAAGGTCATGTGATCCCATTTTGCAACCTTTTGACAAGCGAAGTCAATGAGGAAGACTGATTCACTTAACAACTGTGCTACTAACTTATCAATCACAGTGATTCACTTAACAACTGTGGCAAGAAAGGTCATAAAATGAGGCAAAACGCACTTAACAAATGTTTTCATTAACAATAAATTTTGGGATCATTTATAGTCATAAGTCGAAGACTACCTGTACTCTTTCTATCCTATTTCTTTAGAGTCCAATTTTGCTTACATAGACTGTCAAGGGAAACCTTTGCTTGCACTGTTCTGATCTTTGTAAATATTGATACATCATGACAGCTGAATATCTTTTAGCAATGTGAAGTTATGTAAAAAATATAATTGTGGCTAAAAAGAATTGTTTGGCTTAGAATTGATATTATGTCTATGGGACTTCATGGATGAATGTGTATTTATTTTTAAATATTTTTTGAGGATTGTACACATATACCCACCCACCCTCATGTATATATTTATGTAATTATTTGGTGACTTTTAAATGTCATATTAGCCAGTTTATATACAATATTTACTCTATGTTTAAAATATCAGAAGTATTGTTAAAAGAAAACTATGTTTTTAAGGACATGCAAAGTAACTTTTCCTTTGTCACTGAAGCATAGGCGTCCTTTCTTAACCACAAAGATGCCCAGATGACGAAACATGTAATGTTGGAAAACAAGCTTTTCATTTTTATACTTTCAATCACAATGTTGCTTGTACGTATTTAAGTCCTGGCCTTTTGAGGTAGATCAAACTTAGGAAACCAAAATTATGAATATTAAAACTATTTTTATTACAGGGTTACAGTAACAGAATCTTATAAGTCTGAAAACTCCTCCCCACTCCCTACCTTTATCTATAAGCGAACTAGGGAGGACCATATCTGAGATGTTTTTTTCAGATTACATTTCTGCTTTGGACATGTGTAGTTTATCTGATCATTGTCCTGCTTGTGTTCCTCTTGTTCTTCAAGATTATTCTCACAACCTATTAGACTAAGGGATGGAATTGGCATTGCAGCACCTTGGCATACATCACTTGTGGACACAGTGATGCTCTCAGGAAGCTATTCTTGTCTTTGCAATGTTGCAGCTCTGCCGAATTTGTTGTCAGTGTCCTTCCACTGGTAGGAACACTTGTCTCACCCATCTCTGGACACCTATCTAATGTACTCTACTCTCTCTGCAGAGAATTTAAGTCCTGGTAATTGCATATTGACTTTTTAATAAAATATACCTCCCCCCTCTCTGCCACCATATGTAACTATTGTTATAGCTACTGACAAAAGGGCCTGGCTGCAAAGATGCGTACATTTTACTCTTTTAATATCACAGTTTATACAGAGTGTTGAAAATTAAAAGGAAAAGATGGCTTGGCAACTCTCCTTTTATTAGCAATCACTCAGATTTTCTATAAAACAGAGAAATGCTCAAATAGGTAAATGTCTTTGGATATTCTCAGTCATCCATTCAGTCAAAACTGAAAAAGCTTCCTGGATGAGAAGCGAAATGTCTTCAAGGAAAAACAAAGAAAGTCCAGCTGCCTTTTGAAAAAGCACTTTTGGAAAGACTTGCAATAGATACATTCCTAATGTGTATAGGGAAAAGGAAGCATGCATTCATTTTTTAATGGAATACAGATGACAGGATTTTTATATTTGTAGAAGTTACAGTGACTCCAGACATGGGGTTTGACTGAATGTTGACCAATTCTCCTATTGGTCTGCTGGAGGGAATACCAAATGACTCATGGAGGTCCCTGCATGATCTTGGGAATTTTGAGATCAGCAGAAGAAAAAAAAAAGATTGAACTGGATTTCAAGACTGCTTTGAAACCTGAAGAAGGTGGTGAAATCACAGTATGAAAAGACTCTACGTTACCTTGGAGAGCTTCTTCACAGCTTAGAAAATGATTTCACTCATAGGATGTTCTCCTCTCCATCCTTTCCAGATGTACTTTTTTTAGTTTAAACTTGGAAAACAATGTGTTTAGTTTTGGTTCCTACCTATGGGTCTCTTCCCCACTTTTTAAATGCTTATTCACACATTACACATTACCACCCAACTAGACAAGTTTTAAAGCAGAACTGCATGATGTGTATTTTCAGTCACTCTCAATAAATAGTTTTCTCCATTAAGCCTGGATAATACACCTTTTACTGCATGAGATGAAGTCACCATCAAAATCAACCAGCTCAATCAAGAGAATGATCTCTTTGCTTTGGGTAGTCTTCCAAAGCTTGGTGGGAAATATTGGAGGAAAAAAATATTTAACAAAGCCTTCCCAGTATTTGCATATTATAATCAAATCCTATATTTAGAACCTTGCATGGATTTGAGACTGTAATTCTGTGATTTGACTTGAAAGTGATAAATCTAATGTATTGTACTTTAAACTTTGTGTGTGTATTATTTGGTGGAGGGGGGGGAAGTGTAGTAGTCTTCGTTCAGTTTAGCCCTTTTCACCCATAAATTGCAATGGGGAAATTCCCCAACTCTTCCATCATTTTTATACCATTTCGAATGGCAAGAATATATAGTCTTACTCTGAGTCTAGGTAAAACCAATTGCCATTTTTCAAATTAATTACATGATATGTTAAGATTGTATGTATGTATACAATATACTGTATGTCTAAGTTAGCAATTTCCTTTATCTCCCTTCCCACACATTGAAAAACCTGAAATGTTTTTTTCAAATTCTTCTGTCATGCTAAATTAAAGCTTCTCTTTGTTCAGTACCATCATCCTGCTTTTTTCACAGAATTTCACATAGGGTTCAAATCTTAACCCTAATCCTATTTATTTTTCAATTTTCTATGAAATACTTAAAGATGGATAGATTTGGATGTTAAACAATGGGGGGGGGAAGCAAGAACTAGAGTCATTGATTTCCCCCTCAATGCCAAAATAATAACAATATGATTTTGATTTCTAAGTTAATAAGTAACCCTAAGTTAAGTTTCTAAGTAACCCCAGAATTCTTGAGATTAATTCAGAAGGAACATCTTTTCCAATATTCAGCTTTAGAGCATTCAGTGATTTTCAGTATAACAACAAATACAAAACAGGACTAAAACTATGTGCCAAATAGTGAGCTGTTCTGAAGTTACTAATTGAATGCTTTGTTGTTTATTGTTTACTCATTTATTAGATTTTTATCCCACATTTTGTACAAGGCTCAGAGACATACATATTGCTCTTTCCTTGCAAAATATGTTGGTGAGAGAATGACTAGCTCAAAGTCAACTACCCTGAGGATTGACAGGAATTTAACAGACCAGGGGACCCAACCATTAAAGTCAGAAGATATAAGATATCCCTCCTTTCTTTTAATAATTAGATATTTTTTCATAAAATAAAAATGGAAGGTCATCTGTGTTTGCAAATCCAGGTAGTTTGCAAATGAGACACATAGTTCTTCCAAACAAACTATTTTTCTGCCCCTAGATTTCGAGCAGTATTGTGAAAACGAAGCAAATCTTAACTGTTCCAAGTACAGTTGTTAAAACAATGATGCTACAACTAGAACTGGTGTCTTCACTTGAACCTACAGTGCTCATGGTGACCTGATAGGGAATTGGAGCTTGTGCTTTCTGGCCAGACATGCAGGTGGACAAGTATTTCTGGCTTCACCTTTTGGTTTTTTGCTCAAGCCCTGACTCTATCTCAGAATAAGGATTTGGTGTGTTCATCAAGATACCAAATGGATAAACACTTGATCCCCTTGTAATTGTGATTCCCTTGCCCATTACTGATTTTCTATCACTTGGATATTAGCAATTGTAAGGTAAGGCATGCCAGGTATCCCCTCCAATGATAGCCTAGATGGTCCAACATTCTTCTGTAACAACACTCCTTTGCAACAAATTTTATAGCTGTAGCCACAGCATCCAAACACAAAGGAAGCCACCGCATCTGATGTCAATTATAAGATGGGAATTAATTTCATTTAATGGGGTTACTGCATCTCTCTTTGGAAGAACTTGGTAAGGTGCATCCAATCCAAAAGTGTTTATATGGCCTGAAACATTAACAGGGAAACGCCTTGTTTTTATCAGTTCCATTCTAAATGAAATGAATGGTCAAAACACAAAATTCATGCGTCTTAACATCTTTTACTATGCTTTTAATGGTAACCCTCATGGAACAAATGATGCAGCCACCATAGGAGGCAATTTCAAGGGCCCCACTTTTACCTTTCTTGCTCTATTAATACATACATCTAAAACATTATTTTATTATTTGTTTGTTAAATTTAACTCACTTGTGATAACCCTGGGTGGCTTACAAGAATAAAATCCCAAATACAAATCCAACATACACACACTACCTGGCCTCCCTCTCTGGTGGGTGTGTAGATACAATTAGGAAAAGAGTCCAAAGATGATCTTATTTATATTTATGGAATTTCAACTCTGAGGATAAATTTGGGGACATCTGTTGAGGCCACTAAGTAGTCTTTTTCCTTTCCCTTACACATGTCTATTCCTATGCCCCCTTTTCTACATATTATCATGGGATTTTGGCAAGACTTCACTTTGCAATTCGTTAATTTGGGGGAAGGTGACCATCTATAGTGAGAAAGACCATGATGTAAAATGTCAGAAAAAAAAAGAAAAACACAAAATATTTAGAAACACAGGAGGAGATTTAAACATTAAAACATGCACTTTATTCAACTTACATTTCAGTATTTTCAAGTCATGACATTTTAGAAGAAAATATTAATAGTTGTAATAAGTGAGCTAAAGGATTGCTTGTGGGAAAAAAGCTATAAGTATCCGATAGCAAATTTTTTTGAAAAGAAAACTATTTGCACACCAGAGTTTACTCTATTCTCAGACCTAATTAGCAAGAACCTTTATTCCCTTTATTTTCACTGACTTCAGATGTTTTGTAATCAATCCTTATTTGTAAAATTTTCTTATTCTATGCTTTCAAGTCAGGCTCTGCACATAGGATCTGCGTAAGGAAGGGTGGGGGGATGCTTTTAAATATTTGTTAAATAAACAAAATCGGATCAGCCGCCTAGAGTGGGACTACTTTAGGCAGTTTACAGTAATAAAAAGGAGGAAAAATGAAAAGGCACATAAACAGAATGATAGAACAATGAAGTAAACAATGAGACAGAAACACAAATGAGAATAAATACATAAAATATGATAACTAAAAAGATGGATGGTGGAGAGCAGAGAGCAAGGGGGAGGAGGGGGAGTCTGCCATCAATCTAGCAGCCACCTCCACCACAAGGATGTCCACTGTTTGCTCTACATCCTTCTGGTGTTGTTTCCAGTCTCCATTTTCATTGCTGCTGGTTGACACCTAAGAGTCTTCCATAAAATAAAACTGAAATAGATAGTGGATAATGAAAAAGGGGGCAAAACACTGTAATCAAGAAAACTAAACAGACAGTTTATGAAGTCTCCAGACGAGAACTTCGTTCCAAAGAGACTACTTTTAAAGCAATTCCTAACCTTCTTTATACAGTGTAGATGTTACTGTTTCATTCAGAAGTGTTTGGATATGACACCACCTTGCAAGAAAGCTTGAGAAAAACTCCTGCATCGAGATCTACTTCAGTCTTTTTTCAGTAAGAGCACTGGCAAACAACAACACTATTTGGCAGGAGACAAAAGAATTTCCTCTTGGCTTCAATAAGGCTTGAAGAAGCTGTGATTACTAGTTTGGTCTATGTTAACTCTATTGAACACTTCCCCAGAGAGATAAGTAAGGCTCCTCTGCCTATATTTTACTGCCTGGAAGTATTCCAAACAGAAATTACTTTTGGAAAATACGCAATACCTCTCACCTGATCCCTGTTCTTTTCAGCAACTTGGGAAGAATTCACTGAAGGCAGAGGAAAAATATCAAAAGCCTCTATTCTGTCCTGTAAATGAATAAACTATAAAGCAGGAATACACTTCTTCTTTTGGGTTCAGTGCTGCTGAGTCTTTGTCACGTTGTTCAAAATGTAATGAAATGCATTTAACACAGTTATTCTCCATGCATTCAATGTTTTTCCTCTACACCACATTAAACATTATAATTCAGGAACAGCTTCTGAAACGACCATGAGGGAAAGCATCCAAGGCTCTTACAGCTGCATGGAATTCAGGTTTGGCATTTCTGAGCTATACAGATAGTCCTCAACTTATGATCATATTTAACCCTCATAATTACAGTTAAGTTGGGATGGTTGTAAAGCAAATCATCATGTGATTGACCTGATTTTACAATCTTTATGGTGCTTGTTAAGCAAATGTGGTGGTGGTGAAGTGAATCTGTTGTTCTCTATGGGCCATGGTTTTGTCAGAAACGAAGAAAATGCTGATTTCCAGAAGAAAAGGCTTAAATCATGATTGTCTGACAGCAGGAAGTTGCCAAAGACTGTAAATGCAGTTCACTTGCTGAGCACCAAAATATGGTCACATGACCTCAGGGGGAGGCATCCTTTGGAAATAAGTCATAACTATTGGGGGAATTGTTGTAACTTCAAATGGCTCCTAGGCAATTAATTGTAAATTGAGGACTACCTGTATTTCAGGTGCCATATTTTAACTGCCAATAATCCCTGCTGCTGTTTGTTCATTCACCTTTTCCTTTCATTGTTTTTAACAATAAATGATAAGGCAAGTCTTGGAAAATTAGATCCATAAAATATCGCTCAGATCTAACAAGCAAGAAATGAGATAAAAAGAGCCAAACCAGGAGAATCTGTAATATTTTATGAATAGACTTTTACTGCACTGGAATGAGTTAATTTTTTTCCCCCCTTTTTTCCATTTTTCTTTTTTCCGGATTTCATCTGCTAGTTCTTTCCATGTTTTAAGCTACAGTTCATCCCTTCCTTGGAAGGGATTTCAAAAATATGTGTAAAACTGGCTCTGTGTATATTACAGCCCAAAAACTAGATCAAGGTAATTTTTACAGGTAATGTTTTTGAGCTCAGCTGAAAGGATTGCAGTTACTTGGTTGTGTATCTTGGAGATTCCATTCAGTTGTAAGACGCATTCATTATCTATTTGTGCCAAGGAGAATTACAGGTACATTTTTTTTTACAGAGCTTTACTCCATTAGATCAAAGCATACATAAAACCTTGGGATAAAATATGTCAAGCAGGATATTATAGTTGTCAGATATTGTTCTAGAATTGAATATCGTAGAGTTCGATACTTTTTAAAAGATAATTTCCAGATCTCATTAATAGTATTTCCTCTAATTATAATTTAAAAGAAAACATTCATCATCTATTATATACAGCATTTTTATTGACTCCTCCACTTATTGCTCCATATTTGGCCCCTGTCAAATATTTATGTACATAAAAACTGGACTGGAGAAAGTCATAAAGGAAACTATTGCTACTGTAATAATGAGTTCTTCTGAATTTGGAGACTTTGGATTTTGAAGGAAAAAGAAATCCTGTTAGCATTTAAAATCCACACTTGTTAATGTAAACGATTCTGTGCTTCAGTGCTTAGAGGGCCTAGATATTGGTGTTTGAACATAGATCTTTTTAAAATTTATATTTTACTATGTTTTACTAATCTAGGTGAAATATTAATGTATTAATATATATTGCTAGTCCATATATGATATGCCACACGATAAAGCCACACCTAAAATAAGATCCAAATCTTATTTTATCACACATTTTCACTATTATTCTAGAACTACTAATTGTGGTAACTGAAGTTGCAAAACCCTCTCCTTCAACACAGAACCCAGATACGTGTCCTTCAATGAGTTGTACTACAGCCCAGAAATTGTAGATGGGATTATTTTAAATAAAAAAGCCATTTAGGATAATTCTGGTATGGTTAGAACAATGACTAAGTATTACATGTTACAATGCCAAGGACTAAAAATGTACCTTTATGAAAAAAAATAAAGTTTGGAGTAAACAGCAGATCTTGTCAGCACCAACTCAAAGGCTTTAACTTCCACTCAGAGCAGAAGCAAGGTTTTGAAAATTTTGGTATTCTGTGATTATTTTGTATTTACTTTCTTCCTTCATCCCCCCTTTTAATTTCTTTGCAGACATACAGCTAGCATTTGAAGTATTGTTATTTACTCAAATGTTTAGTGATGTTTGGACTTGGATGGAGTGGGTTTATAATAGCAATAACATTTACTACATAATGCACCCTATTTTGTATTAAAATAGAGCTTTTAGGTGGGAAGGACTAAGAAAACAAAAAAGCAATCTTTTGGTTTGTAATTGTCACATTCTTGCAAGAAGCAATGTGTCTCATCTTCTGAAAGTGGAGGGGACAAGAAATTCAGATAAAATCCCTTAAATTAGGGAAGAAGTCTCAATATCAAATGAATATAATACTCTCAAACCATCCTTACAAGACAGTAGCTGAAGTACCTCATATCGAGCTTGCTCATGCAGCTTTATTTTTAACATAAAAGTTAAATTAAAATGTAAGGCCCGATTTGTACAGGAGACAGGTGCTGCAACACACCCTTTTTTGCCCCACACAATTGGGCCATCTCATTGGAATCCTTGCTGGGCCTGCTTCTCTGGCTTTTGGGAACTCTTCCCACCTCCCCCTCGCCTACATCAGCTCTCCCTGGGGCAAAGAGAGTGGCAGGCGAGAGAGAAGTGGGTGTGGGAAAGGAGCAGGTGTCTTAGGCATTTGGCAGGCACTCAATGGACAGCAAGTTGCACAAAATGCACCCGGCAGATTCAGCCATTGCTTGTGGAATTTCCACACAGGAATGAAGTTTCTCCTGCAGACACACAACCCTGCATATCCTAAGAGACATGTAGGCCTACTAATCTTTAGTACATAAGTGTCTGTCTTTTCCAGAAAACGAAACATCATTTTCTAGCCACTTAGAAACAAAAAATGAGGCAAGAGACACTTTTTTTTGCATTATTAGGCCTTTCTCACAGATATGCTATGTTGCATGTGTATATTCAAAATTTAAAATAAAAACAATCATGTTATTTTGCCATAATGAAGAAGCCTTTGACCAAGGGACCAATTTGTTAGTCGATATGCTTAGATGAAGGGCAGATAAATCTTTTCTGCTGTTATTTTTGTTTAACCAGATTTGAACAGGAATAATCCTTTGAATACAGGATAGGAATCTATAAAGACAGAGGCAATTTATTTCTGGAGCCAGACAAGCAATAATGTATTTTGAAGTGGAGAGTCTGGACTTGTTTTTTCTATATACACAGCAGGTGAGGATTTTTTTTTCTAACCAAGTTTGTGTCCAACAGGAAGAGAAGGAAGAGGTATTTTCAAATGTTAAGTGGCACATGAGGATTGTCTACAATTCACAGATTATGCCATAATTTGAATAAGCACACAAGCACCTTAGATGGTCACTCTAGTGTGAGTGTCGCTATATGTTTCCTTCAGAAATGCTTTTCACTAGAAATTCTTTCAGAAAAAAACTATCAGCAAAGTTTAGGTTTATAAGATCTTTGTTGTGGGATATTGTCCTGGAAGTAATCCGTCTGAGAAAGAGAAAGGCAATAATAAGGAGGGCATGTTGTCCCTCTCATCTCAGAGGATCTCTAGCTTAATTTCATGCATTTTGAGTAACAGAGGAGTATAAATTCATTGATTTCCAATATCTGAATTCTGTCACAAGCAAGGAGGAAAATTATGGAGCCTTTCAACTCATGCATAATGTCATTTCCTTGTTATAGAACTTCCACACATAGGCATATAAAATTAGGAAAAATTTCCTCATAAAAGTTTAATAGCTAATGCATTGCTTGAGTTTACAGCATTTCATCTGATATTAATTTTTGAAGTGTCGTTAAACTGAAATTCAGTATTCAAATTAATCACTTTATTTACTCTCTTCCTCCCACTACCCTCTCTGCAAACATACTCTGTTGGTGAAATCGGTTGTCACTAGTTGCCTTGGTTAATAGGAAGAAAGTTGTCTAACCCCATGCAAAGAATCTTCTTTAAGGATCACTAACCTGCTCATCTCTAGCTAGTGTGTAATGGATCTAAACTTGTAAATGTTAGAACTGCAACTGCTTGTAAATGTTATAACTGCAGCCAGAAACTTTGCTGCTAATGCTGGGAGGACTGATAGAACACATTAAAAGAGCCAATATTTCCCTCCCTTAGAAAAAAAATAGAAGGATTCTTCCTTTGGGCGGAGTTAAATTTTTAATGAGCATTTCCCAAGCAATTGTTGTTAGATATTGCCTTCCTCCCTTGTTTTCTGGCCTGGACATGTCTGGACACCTTCATGTTATGAGGCTGCATGAGATCCCACGTGATTTTGCTCTTTCCTTAAAAGTCGTCCCTTCTGCCAATAGTATGAAGTGCACAGCATACTGTGCAGGAAGGAAGGGCAGGAACAGCCAAGAACATTGCCATCAGCCAGAAAGTGCATGAGTTAAATCCCCACTAGGTAACAGGCGGTGTGGTTGAACTTCCCAGGTGGGGTCATTAATGAGGAAGGAAAATGCTAAGATTGTGGGGTGTAGGAAGTTGCTTTGAAGAACCGAAACAAATTGGGGGTGGGTTGAAGGAGATTCTTGAGTAAATTATCCTAAATCTGATTTGCCTATAAAATTTCACTATCATATAGAATATAATTAGCAGAGGATTATAATATCAGTTGGAACAGTATTGAACTGGTTAAGTTTTAGAAAGAGAAATTACAAAACTTTGGGGTAAATGTTTTGCTTTTTGTGGACAGTTAATGCAATTGTTTTAGTGAAGACAATTGTGTTCAAAGTAAACTACCAAATTTTGATCTTAAAAAATATTTTAAACATCAACCAGTGTTACTTTTTATGGTAAACTCAAGTAGTCTGCTGAGAGATTAAGAGATGGGCATAAGGACATTACTGTTTTTTGTGCAAAATATACCTCTGGTCACTGGGACCAGAGTTTTAATTTTCTGAGCTTTTGGACTAGTGCTGGAGCCCCTCTTCTCTCCCACCAGAATGTGTGCTTTGGGCTATTTATGTGATGCCTGGTTGTGTGTGTGTTTTTTTTAAATTGTCGATTGAGGTGTTGATGACCAGTTATTAAGTCATTGGCTATTATGTACTTGTGCTGCCATGTCCTTGGCTCCTAAGTACTTGATAAGATGGTGGTAAATCAGCACTCCTGTTGACAACAGAGGCCTGTTTTCCAGGCTCAACCATTTCCCTGGCTACCTTTGGACCTGCTTAGCCAACAAACTTTGTAGCTGTGAAATTGAATTATGTCCTGGTTCATTGCATTGTAAGGCTACCAATGAGTTTGGCTCTCCTCGTCTTATAGTTCCCTTGTGTTCTTGCAATCTGATGCTTAGCTTCCTCCTCATCTAGAAGCAATCCATGCAGGTCACAAGGGCAATCATAGTCACAGAGGCAATTCATACAATGCCTCCATGACTATATAGGACAGACAGGGAGAAAGCTAACCACCAGATTGCAAGAACACAAGGAAGCAGTCAGACGAGGAAACCCCAACTCATTGGTAGCCTTACATTGCAATGAACAAGGGCGTACATTCAATTTCACAGCTACTAAGACTGTTGGCCAAGCAAATACAAAAATAGTCAGGGAAATGACTGAAGCCTGGAAAAAACATCCCCTTGTCAGTCTACAGAAGTGTTTATTTACTACCAACTTATCAGGTATTCAGGAGCTAAGGATTTAGCAACACCCCAATCAACAACTAAAAAGCTACACACAATCTGGCATCACATAAATACTATGCATAGAATAGCCCAAAGCACACATGGTGAGAGAGAAGTTCTCTGAGGATGGGCTCCAGCATAAAGTCTGAAAACTTGGAAGACTAAACCTCTGGTGCCAGTGACCGACCCAGATTGAATCCTGCAACATTATCCTGGGACATGTATATTTGCCTTCATTCGTGAAAATATACCTCAAACACTTACCTGGCTCAAAAAGAATTACTAGCAATCCAGAGTATACAGTATGGTGCAGCCCTTCCACATTCAGTTTCTGAGCAGAAATCTGCATATTTCTATCCAAATTAAAAAAACAAGTACAAATAAGATTTTTTTAAATGCTTATATTATTTTCCTTGCACAACATGTACTGTAATTGCAATTTGCAAACAATTGCACATGATGTCTGACAGACAGGTCACATCTGAAACAAAAATTGTTCTAGGATCAGATCTTAAATCAAATCTGATTTAATGTAGAACCTGGTTAAATTTGTGAGTCAGTACTGTGAGCAAAAGTTAAATCACTTTTTACACAGCTGGAAATCAAGACTGGTATTAACATAAGTGAAAGATAACCTCAATTTACCAATCATGTGCTTGAACTAGTTTGCCATCTGCTGTGGTAAGAATACAAAAAACAAAACAAAACACATCCTTAATTGCTGAATTTGCCCTGGGGCAATCAGAAACTAAGTCCTACAACTTTAGTACATACATCCCTTGCAATGAAACTTTAAGGGCATAGTGAAGTAGGGAAAAAGGTTTGGAGGACTGAGAGAACATAGATTTTTTAAAGTGTGTGTACAGAAAAAGTACTAGCCATTTCTACTCAATCAACACAAAACGGATTTTCTCCCTTGTACTAAGGAAATCCTCTCATTTCTGTAGAATTAAAGAAACATCCAACAATAAGAAAGTGTTCTAGATATTAACAGAACAGCATACTAATTATGAGAAAATATGGTATTTCCATCCTGCCCTACACCTAAAAATATTCAGTTGTCTTTTTTCAGCGGCAGGAAAAAATTTTTCCCAGTTCCTTCAATTTTCTCTATCTTCTTATTTTTTTTTCTCCTAAGAAAAGGAAATGGTCATACCTCCTGGAGAGACCAGTTGCTTTGTGTTTGGTTGAAAATATAAACAATTTTAGAAAACCTATTTTTAATAGATAATCTAAGCAAAACACTAGCACCAAAGGTATATAGAAATTTATGTTTCAGTTGGGACTTCAGGAAACTTTAAAATTTGAATTATGTTATTCCATATTATAGTAATCTACAAGTGCCACCAACTGCCATAAAAAAAAGCTAAACTACTTTTAGAGCCACCTGTATCCATAATTAAGGATATGGTCTAAGATCTCTGCTTTGGGAATAGAGTGAGGTAGCTGTCTGAAATCCAAGCCAAGAATTCTACTCATGATCCTCCCAAAAAATCTCCCATGGAAACTGAAGTGTGGTTGGCATTTTGCATTAAACTGGATTTTCCATGTTACCTACTAAACTGGAACCAAACGTGGGATGGTTAATATCCAAACCCCAAAATCTCTAAGAGCTTAAACTAAAAAATGAGGTTCCACTATAATCCTTTGTATGTTTCTGTGATTTTTGTATATAGCAAAAATATGAAACCTAACATTCAAATGGAAGGAGGCAAAGACTACATCCCTCCATTTGTAACTGTCTCAAGATGCCACTGAACCAACCCATCTCCTTAACCATTCTTATAACAGTATCTTCCTATATTCCCTAAACGAAAGTACAATATGAAGTCCCACCCCAAAGCTGCTAAAGGCCTGGACTTTCCAAATTGTCCCAACAATATTGCCCTTTCCTCCTAACAAAATAAATAACATTGCATTTAAGGACAGACTGATGTTCATGCCAGAGGATGGATTGATCCTATAACCATGAGTAAGAAGTTACAGACCCAGGATTGACCATTATAGAGAGATGGGAAGGGCTGGACATCCTTGGGAAAAGATGAAAAGAAAAAGGCTCAATTAGACTGAGAAGTAGCACTTGAAGTGCTTCCCTCAGGTTCCCGTTTGATTTTAGCAGGAAGCTCTGTTCCAGTTTTAGCTTCTCCTTCTGCTTCTTCCTTGGCACCATCGTGTGTCTTCATATGCTTGCTTAGATGGTCACTTCTCATGAAGACTCGGTTGCAAACAGGGCAGGTGAATTTTTTGGTTCCTGTATGGGTCTGAAGGTGCCTCTGCAATTCATCAGAGCGGGTGAAGCGCTTTCCACAGAACAACCAATTGCAGACAAAGGGACGGTCACCACTATGCCATCTCAAGTGAGCCTTCAAATGAGATGTCTTGGCATATGCCTTGCCACAACCAGGAATATGACAGTTGTGGAGATGCTTCTTTTTGGAATTGTCAGGGCACTGGCCCACCCTTTCAGCTTCTTGACAGTTAGGACATCGACAAGCAGCTTGGCCAGAGCTCCGGGTCACTGAACGCCTTGAGCTTTTTGGCCTTACACTACTATCCCCTGCTTGCTCCATTGGGTGGGGCTCTTGAGTCGAATCCAGGGATTTAATAACTTCTTGGTTCATGAGGTGTGATGCTGAAGGCAGCAGATGATGAGGTGGACCACAGAGTTGATGTTCTGCAGAACCATAGCCACCCAATGCTGGCTGAAGCCCACTTGTGTGGCCTGGTGGTTGGAGACCACTTTGAAGATCCATCCAGCTAGATCCAGCATGGAGATCCCACCATGGATTGACATTATTGTCATCAGTGGCATTGCCTGAATGTGTAGGTCTAAACCAAGGTTCATAATGCTGAGACATATCCGGTGTTGCTTGTAAAAGCTTAGAATATGACCCAGGTGGCAGCTGGCTTTCGCTGTCCAGATCTACCCTTGAAGACCCATGCAGATCGTAGCCACTGTTACCCGAGTATTCCGTGTTAGGTGCAGTCAGAGGCAAGTGCTGGAGTTCTGTGTGTTGCAGAGGGGATTGGAAATCTCCCCCACTTTCTGGGCTGGTATGAGGTTGATATGTCTGCAACGGCTGCAGCTCCAAGTGGCTTGGAGAAGAACAAGGTGTCTCTGAGCACTGGTTGCCAAGAGAACCACAGACGGCTGTGAGCATTGCAGAACTCCCGTAGTGAGTAGGTTCTCAGACACACCTAAACATAAAAGAGGAAAGAGGGAAGAAAGAGAAGTAAGACATCACTACTCACAGTACCCATGCATTAAAATTAACTCTCATTTAGTTAGCACAACCCCAACTTTCTGATTTGGGCTCCAACCCAAGTGTTTTTGACAAAACGGAAAAAAATATGCCTAAAATGTGATGGAAACTCCTTGTCCTAATGAATTTCAAGTTCATGGGAGTAATTTTGTGACCAAATTGTTTTAGCTAATAATTATTTTCCTAAGGAAAAGCTCTGAATTCAAAACACATTGGGAGTTTGAGGGGTTTCTAATAAAAACTGGTTTGTATTATTGGGTTTAAAAGCTTGACCTATGTTCATTGTTCTGATGCATCTTTGAAAGTAGACCTCTTATGCTGTCTGACAATTACTAAATAATAGTTTGAGGTTTTCATCTGCAATGTTTGGAGAATTTGTACAAAGAAATAAATAACAGTTGAGCCAAGAATTTTTTTATTTAAATCTCCTCCAGTATTAACTCGCTAGACAAATAGATGCAATGTTTAAAAACTTTCCTCTTACATAAAAAAACAAATACATTGGTGAACAAGATAAGTCTTTAAACAAAGTCCACTGACATTATAAAAGAACTTGCTGTTTACAATTACTGCTGAAAACTAGAGACATTAAGCAAGAAGAAAGCCAGTTTTTAAATATACAATTTAAATATGTCATTCGAAGAACATATGGAAGAAATTCCAAATCCAAAGATCAATATCCTATAATGTTGAAATCTGTTGAGTACATATACTGTAAAGAATATGTAGGCTGTCCACTGAGAAATATGTCCGTCTTTCCCAATATTTGCTGCACTCACATAGATTAAGTTACCTGGTTTTCTCACTCCAGTCGTTCAAAGCCAGCAATGCCAAACTAGTAATTTCCTTCAAATAACTCTGATATGAACACCTGCCGTAATATCCAAGATCCCTTGAAAGAACAATGGTTCGTAAGAGGTACTTCATACCATGATACTTCTAATCAAGTTAGATATATATTTTCATGGTAGTTATCTTATATTTATCTTTAAAGGGGAAAAAACAAGCACTGTGGTAGAGGTTGTTGCAGTGGGAGTATGGGGTGGAGAAAAGACTTAAACATAGTTTACTCCCTTTTCCTTCTTTAAAAGCCTCTCTTAGAGACAGACCCTCTAATCGTCAGCTGCTGAGAACAGATAACAGTAATTATATCATCTATATACAGTTGAGCTGCACAACTCTCACTTCAGCCCAGAGGAAGGAGAAGGCTTGCCAAATACCTAGAATACAAAATACTCAGCCTGTATTTCTCTGGAGGGAGGGAGGGAGGGAGGGAGGGAGGGAGGGAGGAGGAAGGACCAATATGGATCTGAATTGCTGAATTATCTTTGTCTTTCAAATGTGTTTCAAATGTAAATATAGAAGATGGACTTAAAAAGAATGCAATCTCGCAATCTCTCTCTCTCTCTCTCTCTCTCTCTCTCTCTCTCTCTCTCTCTCTCTCTCTCTCTCACACACACACACACACACACACACACACACACACACACACTGACTGTTCCATATAGAAAGTTTACTATCAGGTTTCAACCAATTACTCTGGATAGTCCAGAAGACAGATAAAATCAGAGTTGATGGAACATCCCAAAGAATGCCTATCCCTTTCTCCAGAATACCATGCTCTGACTCACTGTATGTCTGTGTGAGAGAATTATGCTTCCTGTATTTGCACACACCTCAGAAATCTCTTACTTCTATCTATGCCAGATCAGCTTTTCCCAACTTGGTGCCCTCCAGATGTATTGGTTTACAACTTTTATGGAGAATGATGGGATTAGTAGTTAGGACTTCCCTCAGGTTGGGAAGGTCTAATCAGAGGAGAAATTGTTCCGATTCAACACTCTTCCACGCTTTCCTTTTTAGAGCAAATGAAGTTGTTACCATAACTGGCTAATCTTCCTCCTGAATTATTCCTTGTGCAAACAACTTGCTTGTGCAAGCAATGAACAATCACATCCTTTTTGATGCTCAGAAATATCAATGCTGTACCTTTCTTCTTGTCTCAATCAAGGAGACAATACAGACAACAACAGAAGGGAAAGTAAAATGTTTCAATAGTTTATTCCAGAGTCCTAATATTACATGGCTATTGGAAACACTAATTTGATTTGCTTTTATTGTAAATCTTAACACTTTTGCATTTTAAAATCAATATAGAAATATTCAAAATTTGTATTCCTGTAAATTTTATTTCTAATATGAATATCTGTAAAAATAATTATTACAGTATTGACAAAAGCATGTATACTCAGCAAAGCACATATGAATATAAATGTATCAGGAGAAATGTGCACATATTAATTTTTGTAGGAATTTTTAAAAGTTCATAAGATTTAATTTAATAGGAGAAATAGAATTTAATAGGAGAAACAATTTAAAAATGGATAGAAAAAATAATCAATTCCTCTATGTCAGCTTCAAATTTTAAACAGAACCAGAATATGTTGTTTATGAGAAACATTACCTTTTATTTACTTGGAAGGAGAAACTATCACTTTTCTTTCTTATTTTACCTTTTAAGATCCTATTCTGAAAATACAATTACAGCAGAAGAAACTGGGACTACTATTAAGTTTGATAGTTTGTCAGTAAACTGTTGAAGATTGTTTTTTCCCTAGTTACTAATCATGACTGGGATTGCAAGATTGCATTAATGATTAGTATCTCATTTGCATTATTCTTTTCCCATTTATTTTTATTTATTAAATTCATATGCTACCCGTTTCAATATCTAACTCTGAGCAGTGACTCAGGTCAACTTACAATACAATATTTTCTTTGTTTATTCAGAAATTGCCCCTTTCCTCCAGTTATTCATGGGTGCATATTCCAAAGCTACTGTAGCAACTGATAATAATTTTATTTTATTTTTATTTTATTTTCCGCATGAAATTCTGGAAATGTACTTGATGTAATGATTCTATTAAAAATTATCATCATGACAAATAGAAAACTTAAAATATAAAAGAGTTGATTTGCTGAAGAAGGCAAACAATCAGTCTTCCTTTTGCTTTTCAGAAATGCCTTATAAATATTTGATTAGTGTAAGCTGACATTCTCCAGTGGACTTCTAAGATAATTTAGAGCTGGGAAGAAACCAGACCAATAACAGGACTACTCTGGTTTTTTAAAGCTCATATCTGCTTAAAATTTGCATGCTCTTATTTTACATATGTACATGCACCTAGGAAGCTATTTAATAGACATCTCTTTAACGTTGTGACTTGTGCATCTTTTTAGTCTGCTACTAAAGTCTTATCGTGTTGACACACAATTTAAAGTTTCTTCTTTTCCTTTTTATAATTAGTTTTTAAACTGATCTGACACTGGGAAATCCTTCTAAAAAGGATATATGGTCACCCCACACTATTAATGCATCACCATCAAACGAGAGTAGTCATACATGTCACACTCTGCAATTGCTCTAATATAACTGGAAATGTAGGGTGAGATATGACATAACACCATAGGTTTGAAACCATTATGCAGTAAGAGAAGTGGAGGCTTCTGCAATGTGAGACTGAAAACTGAAAAATAATCATCCTTTGTTGGAAAAATTCAGAATACAGAAGAATAAATTCTTTATCAATTAAATACTAAGGATATTGTATTCTGTTTGACGTAAATATGGCACTATCATACATAAGTATAACTTGAACTATAAGACTATCCTGTAAAGATTAATTTAGATATGTGAGTCCTTTCAACCAATCATCTGGAGAAGCCTTACAATGACAAATTCTAACTTCCTGAAAAGTGGGTGAAATCATCCTAGATTTATATCACTGATAGAAAGATCAGCTTTGTGCAATACAGCTTTTCCCAGCTTCAGCAGCTTTATGATGCGTGAACTTGAACTCCCAGAATTCCCCATCCAATATGCTGGTTGGGAAGTTTGGGTGGAATGGGACAACTTGCTGCAGCCAACTCACCACAGCCATTTTGCTACGGTCAATTCATTGCTGCCAACTCACCAAGGCCAACTCACTGATTTGATTTTGAGCATCTTTTATGCCACTAAGAGAAATATCCATTTAATGGAAAGAGAACAGAGCTTATCCATACAAGCATTTTATCCTGATTATATAGTATTGCTTCTCTTGGGTGTCACCCAAAATAGTCCTTCATCTAATCTTTTCATTTTTCCTTTCAATACTTTTTTTCTTCTGATTTTTTTTTCTTTCTCCAAACCACTTTTATGATAGTCTTGTTTTGTTGCCCACTCAATCAAACTTTCTTGGTGTTACTGACTAATGTGCATTACAATGTTGCACCGTTATTGAACAACTAGTTGGAGGGCTGCTAGCATTAGCAATGAAAAGATATTGTACAATTACTGTATTTTCCTCTTTTGGCAGATTTAATCAGAAAAAAAAGAGGAAGTTATACAGAATTGGGAAAAGATGGGTGAATTACAAAGGGAGAGTAATATGATATTGGAAATTTTTCTGAATATTAGGTCATTTTTTTAAAAAAATTGCTTTGAAGCATCTTTGACTTTTAATGGGGACACTGTGGCTTAGTGGCTAAGATGCTGAGCTTGTCAATCAGAAAGGTCGGCAGTTCGGCGGTTCGAATCCCTAGTGCCGCATAACCGGGTGAGCTCCAGTTATTTGCCCCAGCTTCTGCCAACCTAGCAGTTCAAAAGCATGTAAAAATGCAAGTAGAAAAATAGGGACCACCCTGGGGGAAGGTAACAGCATTCCGTGCACCTTCGGCATTTAGTCAAGCCGGCCACATGACCACAGAGACGTCTTCGGACAGCACTGGTTCTTCAGCTTAGAAACTGAGATGAGCACTGCCCCCTTGAGTTGGGAAAAACTAGCATGTATGTGCGAGGGGAACCTTTACCTTTACCTTATGACTCTTAATGGTGAAATTCATTTTGAAGCAATCAAAACCTGTTTCACAGTATTTTCCCTACTTTCTGTTTGA